CCCCCCCGCCCGCCAGCCCGCCAGCCGCAGAGGTTGACGACTCTCGCAGCAACACGGAAGCCGCTCAAGCAGACTGAATGGACAGCACTCGACATGGTTGTAGTGATAATTCGCTCTGAGGAAAACTCAGATGGAATCTTCCTGGCGAGATTCACTCACTCGCTCGCCTCTCCTCCGACGCGTGTGCAATTTCGTTAAGACACGTTGACGAGTATGCATTGCCCGCACAAAGTGAGCACGACGGACTAGAGTTTGAACTGATGGCTCCTTCCTCGGAGATTGCAGTTCAAACTTCAGTCGATTTGTGACACACAAAGAACGATCGTGGCATTTTTTTCTCCACTCTGCATCTGGGTAAACGTAAGTGACTTCACAAGAACCATCATTCTTCTATAAAATAGTGAGCTCTCAATTCGATGACTACAGTTTCCTGATTGTCCATCGTTCAGGCGGGCGGGTGGGTCCCCCACACTTAAACAGGGAATGAACATCCTGCATAGAAAGTTTCGCGTGGATATCACGCAGATTCTTTAATGACTAATTATTTTTCATAATTTTCCGTTTCTAAATTCCTGGACGATTAGTTGTATTAGTCTGAATTGTAACTTAACAAACGATAAAGCGGATAATAATACTAATGTTAAAAAAAATATATGAGATTTTTATAATTAGAGTTTCAAACATAATTAAATGTTTCAATTTAACTTCCACCTTCCGAAAATATCAGAGACATCCATCTAGTGAAAATACGTTTCTACAATTTTATACATTTTCTTCCAAGCACTTTAAAGTGTCGTCAATACTGGTCATACGTACATACCGATAAAAACAAACTTAAAATTTTGTATCTGTACACATTACCTCTCATTTGAATGTAAGTAATGGTACATTCCGTTAACTCCGCCACATTGTACTTTTTTTGTTACTCGAGACGATATAAATGTGTTTAATTTTGAACACACAAATCTTTACCTGATCTGTACCTTACCTAGCGAATTAAATTAGATGATCAACAAAAAATTAACACTTCCATTAATAAAGTAAACATTTTTTCTGATAATTTTCGAAAATTCAAATTAATGAAAATGTTAGGTTCTATAATACACTCTCTGAATATGAAAAAATTTCAGCCATTGGCACCATTAACGACAAAGTTTAGAAATTAAACAAAGCCATGTACAATATACTCAAATTTAAAAGCTGTTAGCTGATTCGCTAAATTGAACAACCGAGGCACAATACGCATTTTGAAAAAGAGGAATGATAAATTAAGGTAATTGCTCTGAAGGTCGTATAAAAATACAAAGACGTACCATCTCGATCAGATTTTCGTCCAGTTTCCCTGATCCTCTAGCAAATACTGAGATGGCCCCTTGGTTTGCTTCTGGACATAAATGTAACTTCAAATTAACTTCTCCCTATAGCACGTCACACACAGTTTTTAACTGTTTTTGACGTAAATAAATAAATAAACAAATAAATAAATAAAAAGTTGATGCATACCCACTATAAATATATTTGATAGAATATTTACAGTAAAGTGTAGTCGTAGAGTCCTTAGCGGTTAACTAACCTGAATAACCCGTGCTAAAGTCTCGGCATCCTCAATCTGCAGATATGCTGGTGATTTTGTGCCCATTTAGGTTCTGTTCAGGACCGTCCTGAAGTCCAATCAGGCTGTTTTCTCAAGGTGAAACAATATTTACTGACTTTATTAACAATTAGCATGAGGTAAAATCTGCAGCTAAAGCATGGCGCTTGCCCATCTTCGCCCCACGCCCGAAGTTGCAGTGAGACCTTCGGTGAATATTCGTTTCAATTATATTACAGAGGACTCTAGAGATCGGTACTAGTTGGAAAACCAAACAAGAGGATTTCTAACATTCATCCAACTCTAAGAAGAAGCATTCCAGCAGAACTAAAGCACCAAGGGTTTGGATAAATAATGGAAACATGCAGAGTGGCAATGCATAATAAAGTGTCATTCTGAAACTGTGATTCCTTTTCCAGCTTCTCTTCCCTCTTCTTCGACTCGATGACTCCGACTGCAATGTTTATAGCCTTAATAACTGCATTCACCCTCTCATCTTGAAACAGTGGTCACCCATACGGCATCCACGTGAGTACGCCGATCTTGCAAGGAGATAGAGACTTTCTTGACCCAACCTAGCGCCAAGCCCCGGCCTTTTTGACTCGTGTGCATTTATAAAGAAAAACTGCATCCTTTGCCTTCTACCTTTCCTCTGTCGTTTGAGCATTTTTTTCTGAAATACTAAGTAGATGACAGAAAATAATTGAAATATTTGAGGCCGTCGTAAAGAAAGTAGCAACTTTTTTAGGCATTTCACTTAACTTTGAAGCTGAAAGGACATTTCAATGTATCGAGCCACTCGGTACACTGAAACTCGGTACTCCTAAGGAATCAATTGAAAACAAAGTAAATTATCTTCGATTGGTGTATTATTCATGAGTTAACTAAACCATGTGATAAAAGAGACGGTTTTTACGTGTGCATTTGAGGTTGTCTTGAATACCGAACAGTCGCCCGAGATTAAACGTATTTTTATTTATATAATATAAATAAATATAGTATATCAATAAATTATTAATTATATTATATAGGTAGTACAACTAAACTGTGCAACTAAGTATTGAACGATACACGACAGATAGCACAAATAATCTACCATGTTGTTGGCCTTTAACGGACGAATGATGTTAAGATCAATAACAGAAAATTAGTGATGAAAAAAATAGTAAGATGGTTAATTTTTATCCTCCCCCAGCATTGTTCGTTTTCGTGAACATTGTGTACGTGGCTGAAAATAACTGAACGTATTATTGCAATAAAATGAAAACAAACCAACTCTATTACGAACCTCAAATATTATTAATCAAAAATTAAACATGTCATGACCGGATCATGAAGAGGTAGGCGACATTTATCTCCATTTCCCTATCTCCCAGAAATAGATGAACGAAAATTTCATTTCTCATTGTAACTCACTGAAAATTCTTAGGCTCGGTGTTATGTAAAACACAGACGCAAATGGATGTTGAAGACTCATTATTATTTTCTAAGTACACATATCTCTCTGTCAAGCCATTATTATTACTTCAGAGTAATTTTCTGACCGAGACGAGTTCTGAAGCTCATGTTAAGCAACACTCCTCCTCATAGACACGAAGTATCCGTGTGTTCCGCAGGCGCATGCACATTGATCACCTGCGACTGAGTCATCACAAAAACATCACATACACAGTAGTTCCTGTTTTATTACACTCGACGCGGACACGCCACTGTAGCGTATGGCAGCAATAACGATGCTATCATCGGCGGATGTTTTCGTGCGTGCGTACGTGAACGCCAGTACATAAATTACCACCTACATTCTGATTCTCAACTTTATAATACAGAAAAAGAGAGGTAGTACTCAATCGGTGCGATGAGATTATCGTTCTATCTGTTATTCAAGCCAAATTATTCTTTTGACAGCCCCACGCTAATTGCAGTCGTTCGGCGGATACGGCTGAAATTACCTCATAATTTAGGCAAGCAGCACTTTTCTTCTGCAGGTTCGCATTCCCGTGTTCGCCTTTCCGTTCACGATCGCGTCTTGTCAATCGGGCTCCAGAGACGTTTTCTAAGTGGGGTTCTCGGTCGCTCGTTTCTTCGAGACGCCGACAGCACAGGCACCCGAAGCGCAGAGCGAGTTTGGATTTTTCACCCGGAGTGCGTCGCCGTCCGCTCTTTGTGTCCGCACTCGCGGATCACGGATGCCTTGCGGAGATGACCTCACCGGGCTGGCACGCCACCGCTCTCGCCTGGGCCCCGGCCCCGGCCCCGGCCCCACGTGTGAGTCGGGTGGGCAGCCGCCCGGCCAGCACGCAGCGGCCTCGCGAGGCACGGACGAGCACACGGCGCGGGGCGCCAGCGGGGCGACATCGGAAGCGACCTCCTCTCACCAGTCCGCAGGCAACCAGCTCACTCATGTCCTCCTCCTAAAACCAATTGGTTCTAGCACTCGCACGGGTTTTGGAAGAATGGCAACCCGCACATTATAGATCTTTATGCTTCTCCAAATTTACATAAAATGTTTCTGGCTTCTGATGCTTTGGGTTGATCGTAAGACGGAGGTACATGACTTTTGATACCGAAGCCTCAGATTCGACACCTGGCTGCCGACCTGGTTGCGCAGACTCCCCACCACGCACACTAAACGAAAAACACTACTAAGGCACGAGAGAGTGGCACTGGAAGCAAATATTTAAGGCCACTCAAATAAAAATTAAACAACAAACACATTTTATAACACTGCAATGATATTGAAAAATCAATTACTTACTCATTCCCGGTTTTCGAACTTTTTTTTTGTCGCTAAGTCGCACAAACCGCCTCATGGTATCTTGGCTCCGAAGATGTTATGGATTTTACCCGCCTTGAGAGTGTGCCGACGTACTCGTTCATTCCACTTTCTTACGTTCATCCTCCAAATTTACATACGAGTGAAACTTCCGGCGGCTGACCGTAAGTAGAAGGTGGCTGACTTGACACCGCCGACCTCAGTCTCAGCCTTTTAACAGCGCGTCCGCCTCAATTTTTCGTATACAAGATACAAATCCAAATGTATATCAGAGTTAAACTTCCGATGACTGGTTCTCGGGTTTGTACGTAAACAGGAAGTTGGCTGAACATACAATATAGCTTTAAAATAACGAAGCATTTGAGTTTTTTTTAATGAAGTGTTTTCTGAATGGAAATCGAATACTGAATCTGTGGAAACATAGCGAAGACTCCAAGGATTATGCGAAATCGCAAGTTAAATCGTCCGATATCACTTCTCTAAAACGTTTTCGTTGACATTCAGCATCACAGGTAAGTTTGAACATAATGCGCTGATGAAAAGAATGATTTCTACTATTGTCATTCTTGTCATGGAATACGTCACGGAATCACATGCTACCTACGTACGGCTGTCAAGCACCGGCAACACGTGGGTGATAAGCTTTCCTTTACATTTTTAACAGATTACTGCTACCTGATGGGGCTAAAACAATTACTGTGTGAATGAAACAGCAGACCTGCAACATTATCACTAACTAATCAATCGCCATGCCTAGCATGAATACAGTAAACGCAACGTACGGAGTTTGTTTATTTTGCATTCATCTTTGAACCTAGAGCCTACACTTCCACACGTCCAACACTGACCGCATCTATCTTCATAATTAACTATGAAAAAGCTTCTATGGAAGAAAATTCAACATGTTTTACGCAGAATATTTCATCAATAATAAACAAACATTTCTTAATCTTGTAATATTAACATCTATTAATCACGTTTTCGTCGTATCACAATTAAATGAAGTTCAATTACGTGCATTTCAAAAAAACAATCTCTTTAATTCTTGTAATAAATTAACATCTATCAACGTTTCGTCGTATCATTAAACTTAAGTTCCAATTACGTGCATTTATAAAAATAATCAATATGACGAGCGATTCCACTAGTAGCTCACCTTTCGAATGTTTGATACGTCTCATTCGCAATCGCCCACTGCCGAATCTTTGTTATTCATTGCTGCATTAATAAAGAGCAACCGTCTTGGTACGTAAAGAACAATGTACTGTATTGCATAATATGCTATTACATTATTAGTGATGACTGTTAGATTAAATTATTTAATTTATTACATTCCTTAAGCCATGTATGCCAAATGGTAACAACTTTATTTGTTGTAAATGAGCAGCGCGTATGCTCCTTTTTGGAAAACAATTTTGTGTGGTTTTGTTCAGCAGCATTTTGCTGCTGCAGGCAACTTGTGTATTAATAATTGTCTGATAAAAAATAATTACTATACGAGATAAATCGCATCGTGAAGACGTCTTATCATGAAATAACGCCAAAGAAAAAAATCTTCACTTGTATAACTTCCTCAAAAATTAAATCTGCAAGTAAAATGCCATTTCGATAGGTGGAAAGATCATTAAATAAACCAGATACGAGTACTGTGCCATAAGCGGTAGAGTAGAGGCGTACTTAAGGGTTGGGTGACGAGTAAGCCAAATCTGCGAACTTCAGCCGTTAAAACTCCTTAACGCGGTTTCCATCGAGGTCGAGATGTGTGCACTTTTAAACGGTGGAGAATTCTACGGTGACCGTGTGGTTCTTGCTACAAATAAAATAAGACTATCCTGTATTATATTCTCTAACATCTCCCGTTCTAATCATGCCTAATCCGGCCAGGAAACAACGAGAGTAATGGATAAATGTGACTGAGATCGTAGTTGCCTTTTTTAAGATTCCAAATTAGTGGGCAATGCAAGAAGCTAAAAGGACACCAGGTACAAATATTTCAGGAATGCATCCATGTGGGGTGGGAGGAACAGCAGTTTATGAACTTGGAGGAATGTGTTCACGATTAGGGACAGTAATAACGAAAGGATGCATTCTTGACTCTCCGGGATGAGCCGCGTCTCAGTCAATTGTGCTGACGTTTCGGCCGTCTTGCTGTGGCCTGCTTCAGAGCTATACTGCATATAGC